AAAAAAAAAAAACACACTTTTTTTTTTTGTTTCTGTTATAAAAGTTTGCAAATAAATAATTGTTCTTCATAAATTTAGGCCGAGATGTATTCTGCTACATGTCTTTGGTGAAAATAACCCAAATTAGGATGCATTTTTTAGTTTGTAGGAAAGTTATAGAGTTCACAAACTTTGATATAGATCTGAATATTGATCAATCCTGAAGTACTGACAGCCAATCTAATTTCTTGAGGTCCAAGAATGTCAGAATAGTACAGATATCCCCCAAATGACCCCTTTTTGCAGAGTAGACAGTCCGACGTATTTCATAAGAGGCATGGCGAGTTTTTTGAAGTTGTATTTTTTTTGTCATAATTTTTCGGAAAATGAAAAAAATTTCAAAAATTAGTTTCACTATTTTTTTTTTTACATATTGTCACCAGTGCAGTACAGCGTCATCATATAACTGGCATGGCGGTGATCACGGACACTGACTGGTGACAGTATGAAAAAAAAAAAAAAAAATGTATTTTTTATTAATTTTTTTTTTATTTTTTTTAAGATTTTTTTTTTATATTTCACTATGTCCAAAGTAGTACAATGTTACCATAGTAACATTGTACTACTTTGGGGAAGTGATCAGTATTTCTTTTTTTTTTTACACAATTTGCTTATAGCAAAGAATTACTTTGCTATAAGCAAGCATTTACCTCAATGACATCGATTCATTCAGGGTTTTGGTTTTTTTTTGTGCTTAGCTGTGATTTGGCCACAGCTAATCACATGACATGTGCATGTGATTAGCTGTGACCATTCACAGCTAGACACTAGTATACAATGGATGGCATGAATGAAGCCATCCATTGTATACAACTGTCATGTGACCTGCTGTGATTGGTCACAGCAGGTCACATGGTACCGGCAACGGGGCCGATACACAGATCTGTCATTGGCCGTGTCCGAGGTACATGGCCGGTGACAGATTGCGCCGCTGCGCGGCTCTGCATGAGCGCGATCTGCACATGTGCGGGAGGACGCCAAATGGCGTTCACCTGGAACACTGATGACATTTGCCGGCGCCATTCGGCCATAGGGCGGGCGGCAGGCAAATGGTTAATAGAAAAAAGTCAAAAATATAGTTTTTTTTCTCAAAATTGTCGGTCTTTTCTTGTTTATAGTGCAAAAAATTAAAAATGCATAGGCGAGCAAATACCACCCTTAAGAAAGCTCCATTCATGGGAAAAAAAGGACGGAAATTTCATTTGGGTGCAGCATTGTATGACTGTGCAATAGTCTGTTAAAGTAATGCAGCGCCGTATCGCAAACAAATGGCCTGGTCAGGAGGGGGAGGGGGGGGGGGCTAAATCCTCTGGAGGGCAAGGGGTAAAAGCTTACATTGATTATATTGCAGCTTCCCAATTCTTGGATGCACTAGTTTTCTTTTGTAGACTTTCTTTTATTTTCACCTAGTGATCCGGCCAATAAGTCTGTTGTTTCCAGCAGATGTAGAAGTTTGAGGGTTGAGCCAACCATTTACCACTGACAAGGGTGCTTACAATGATCGGCTTTTATTTATTTGTGTAAAACCCTTTTATCCCAAAAGGAGCAAAACTGTTTGCTGTAACTACTTAAAAAGTATTAGCTGGAGTTTGGCTTCATTTTGATAGCGTATCTAAATCTGCTAGTACATCTAACACCCCCCTCTCCGTAGACTGACAGTGCTGCTGTCCAAAGTAGTGGTGCACTGAAACTAAAAATTCAGGATGCACTTGGCCCAAAACCGAAACTGAAATGGACAGTTTTTTATAATATATTTGTATTGTATTTGATTTTTTAATTAATATCACAAATTTAAATGAATATTAAAGTCAATGGGACACTATTTTTGCATTGAAGTCAATAGGACACGATTTTGCATTAAAGTCAACGTGTCACAATTTCGCAATGAAGTTAATGGGGCACACTTTGCATTAAGTCAATGGGACACAATTTTTGGATTGAAGTCAACAGGACACGATTTTGCATTTAAGACAATTGGACACAATTTTTGCGTTGAAGTCAGTGGGACGTGATTTTGCATTAAAGAGGAGTTCCGCTCACACCGTAAAAAAATAAAAGTCAGAAGCTACAAAAACTGTAGCTGCTGACTTTTAAAAAAACAGCCACTCACCTGTCCCACGATCCCGTGGTGTCCTCCCCACAGCCCGTTTCACCGGCCGTCTTCTCTCCCTGGTGCCGGCATCTTCAGTGTGGGCACCCGGCTGTGACAGCTTGCGGCTTCACAGCCGGGTGCCCATTGCTCATGCGCGAGTAGCACTGCCCTGCCTGAATGGCCCGGTAGTCTTCTGGGACCTGTCACATGTCCCAGAAGAGTACGGGGAGCGAGAGTAGGAGGACAACTTCCGCTTCCTAGGCAATCGCAGCAGCAGTGGGTACCTGTCAATTTCAGGTACCAGCTCTCCAAAGGTGCCAATCCTTAATGGAGAGTGGGGGACCAGTTTTTAAAGTGGAACTTTCCCTTTTTGGAGGAGCTCCGCTTTAGGTCAACGGGACACGATTTTACGTTAAAGTCAATGGGACGCGATTTTGCATCAAAGTCAATGGGACGCGATTTTTGCATCAAAGTCAATGGGACGCGATTTAGAATGAAAGTCAATGGGACACGATTTTTGCATTGAAGTCAATGGAACACAATTTCGCATTGAAGTCAATGGGATGGGATTTCGCATTAAAGCCAATGGGACGCGATTTTGCACTAAAGTCAATGGGACACGATTTTTACATTAAAGTCAATGGGACATGGTTTTCATTAAGTCAATGGGACGCAATTTTGCATTGAAGTCATTATTGGCACATTTTTTTTTTTCTATCAACAAAATGCTGATAACCCTATTTTCAGCCGATCATTTTTGGTAGCCGATATATTGATGCATCACTAGTCCAAAAGGTGTCTCTGTTGCTCCTCCACCCAGAGTATTTCACACTAAGGCAGGGAGTGTATAACTGCCCAGATCACCAGGGGAAAAGCCCAAAAAAGAAAACTAATGCAGACACCACATTTAATGATTGGTAAGCTGCAATATATTACATTGTTCATTTTGGATTTAATATCGCTTCAAAAGTATTTCATTATTTCCCCGTAGGTATCAATTGCTTGGTATGCCTTCTTTTACATAAGGATTGGATTGCCATTAGAGTGCAATTGCCAGAAATATTGGCCCCCAAAAAATATAAAGTTGCTCTACTTTCCATACACTTTTGTCAACAGTCACACCGAGAGCTGATCTCCGGCCTTCCCTTCAGTCTTGCACAGTTGTACCGACTCAGTCCCTGGGACTGAACTTGCTTACTGTGATTTCACTGCACACTGTGAACTTTGCGTGTTACAGGCTGCAGCAAATCAGTAAAATGATGGTGCTAGAATGGCTGGGTTGACAAATGTAGGAACCAGAGTTAGTCTGTAATGTCAAGGTAGGGATGTGGAGGGGATGGAACGGGTCTGGATATCCACTTTAGATGGATGCAGCTCCTCCGTGTGGGTATAGGAGGAAACAAAGGAAAACAGCGAGCGCCACCATCTAAGTATAGGTTTCCTAAAAACCCAAATAATTAAAATAAGAAACGCACTCACATTTGGGAGAGCAAAAAAAGTATATAAACGTCTGGTATCTGCAGAGCTCCGCAGGGCAGCGGCCAAGTGAAGCGGAGTGGCGTCTGGAAGCTGCTGGAATGTCTTTGCAGAGCATCCAATGGAATCTGGCGATTGCAGAGCCGGAGCTGGAAGCAGCCAAGACCAGGATCATCAGCAGGAGCCAGCGTGGAGCGCGCTGTTAGCCTTGTCTCCAAAGCAGAGCCGAAGATACATGAGCATGACAGGGAAAGGAAGGGAGTGTGGCTACGCGTTTCAGGGCAACAGGGACCGCCCCTTTTCAATGGCCTGTCCTGCAAAGTTCTGCCGATACAAAACATTTATATGTTTTTACCGCTCTCCCAAATGTGAGTGCATTTCTTATTTTAATTGGTTTTTAATAAATCTACACTTAGATGGCGGCGCTCGCCGTTTCCTGCAGCAAATCAGACAGAGCCTGACTCATTTCCTGGCTGGAGGATGTTCAGCATTTTCTAGCCCTTTCCAAGCCAGCCTGGCTGTCCCTGGTCCACCCCTTACATTCAATGGATTTCAATCATAGAGCCTCAGAATCATGTGTGGGAGCCCACCATGGAAATACGCATGCCAGTGCAGTCTACCTAGGAACTCCCACTCTTCCAGACTGACATCTGCCCATCAAGTCATTTTGATTTTTTACATAACTCCTCCCAAAAGCCAGCCCACCGCTTTCATTAGGGCTCATAACAGGAATAGTGAGGCAGGCCCATCCCACCAGCCATGATCTGCCTGCATTGCCTAGAGAAGTATAGAGTTCCAATAGTGACATCACTGGATTTAAAAGAAGGTATGTCATGAAAACAGGTTTTGTATGACCTACTTGTGTGTTTATTACTGATCTGTTCACTTGTTACAGATTTTCCAACGCCATGAGATTAATTTAGAAATATGTTCCATCATCTCTCCAGATGGGGAAATGGAAGATGAAGACATCACATCGGATTCTTCAGAAGAAGACCCCATTCTGCCAAATCTTCCCAGTGCCAGCTGTTCCTCTGATCCCTCGAGACATGTAGGGAGTTTTCCCGGTCTCTCTCCTCTCCCAACCGATCATACAGCTCATAGAGAGGGTAAAAGGTTCCTATGCCCAATGTGTGGGAAATCTTTTACCCGAAGAGCCAGTGTTCTCCAACATCAGAAAAAGCACACCGGGGAGAAGCCGTATTCCTGCTCCGAATGTGGGAAATGTTTCGACAGGAAAAGAAATCTCTCGACACATCACCGGATTCACTCCGGGGAGAAGCCTTTTTCATGTTCTGAGTGTGGGAGGTTCTTCGCCTGGAGAGCCAGCCTGGTTGAACATCAGAGAACTCACACGGGTGAGAAGCCATATCCGTGTCTAGAGTGCGGGAAGTGTTTTACTCAGAAAACCCATCTTACCAAACACCAGAGGACTCACACTGGGGAGAAGCCGTATTCTTGTTCGGAGTGCGGGAAACGGTTTACAGAGAAGGCCTATGTGATCGTACATGAGAGAACTCACACGGGCGTCAAGCCGTATTCTTGTACAGAGTGCGGGAAGTGTTTCAACCAGAGAAGCCACTTTATCGCCCATCAGAGAGCACATACGGGGGAGAAGCCCTTTTCATGTGCAGAGTGCAGGAAATGTTTTAGTGAAAGAGCCCAGCTAGCCACACACCGAATAATTCACACGGATGTCCACCCGTATTCTTGTCCCGTGTGCAGCAAATGCTACAGCAGTAAATCGAATCTGGTTAGGCATCAGCAGGTCCATACGAACATGAAACCGCCTGCGTGTTCTGAATAAGGGAGCCATTTTTTTTTGTGATGATGATGTCACACGTCTGGTTACTTCAGATTGTTAGTATTTGTAGTCGCTGTATCAGAATTCTTTCCCTTTTTTCTATCTATATTTGTTTTTATGTGTTTGGATCCATGTAGGATGCGGCAATAGGTTTTCTTTAACCCTTTCGCTGCCAGGTATACGGACCTGAGGCAAGCGGGTTTTACACACACTCCAATGGCTGCAGCCACCAGGACTGTTTGTAAAACTGCCAAGCAGACTCTTGCCTGCCAGGTGGAAGCAGTCGGGTGGCTGCGCTTCTGCCTGATTGCTTCTGCATTCCCCGGTAACGGTGCCCTCCACACACACACCCCCCCCGTTCCTGCGCATGCTCCCGTCATATATTAAGGGCTACGCTTGCCCACCTGCAGGCATGGCGGGTGGAGAGGAGAGCAGACACACACTCTACTCGCCTTCTTACTGTGACCTGGAAAGCAACGTGTATGATGTCACTTCCGGGTCACAACTGTCACTGTCACTTTCCCCAGCTAGAATAGCTGGGAAGGAATGTATTGCAATGCGATCTGCATTGCAATACATCCAGTGGAGCCCAGAGGAGGCATTTGGGGGGGGGGGGGGGGTCTGTTATACCCTGCATGTTTCATTATAGAGAACCTGTCACCTAAAAGTCATCACATAGGGGACCCCCAATGTCTCCTCTTGGCTCCACTGGATGTATAGCGCCCCCCCTTGCTATGCACACCCCCGCCATGTATTAAGGGCTACTCATGCCCACCTGCAGGCATGTTGAGTGGATGTGTATGATGTCACTTCCAGATCACAACTGTCACTTTCCCTGGCTAGAATAGCCAGGAAGGAATGTATTGCAATACGATCTGCATCGCAATACATCCAGTGGAGCCCAGAGCAGACATTGGGGGGTCTTTTATACCCCGCGTGTCTCAATAAAGAGAACCTGTCACCTAAAAGTCTCACATAGGGGACCCCAGTGTCTCCTCTGGGCTCCGCTGGATGTATAGCGCCCCTCCCTTCTTGCACACGCCCCCGCCATGCATTAAGGGCTACGCTTGCCCATCTGCAAGCATGGCAGGTGGAGAGGAGAGCGGACACGGTCTCATCGCCTTCTTACTGTGACCCGGAAAGCGACGTGTATGACGTCACCTCCAGGTCACAACTGTCACTTTCCCTGGTTAGCGTAGCCAGGAAGGAATTTATTTCAATGCGATGAAGGGAGAAAGGGATATAATACACAGGGTGCCAATATCCCTGAAGAATACAAGGGGGGAGTCCTCTTTTGGATGGGACTTTACCGGCACAATACTCTTTATATGATAAACTAAAATCGTTCCAAAAAAAGTATTTTTTTTAAAAGAATTTTTGCAGTTTTATTTTTACAATCTTAAAAAGCAAACATAGAGCTACAATACAGATTATGGTGGTGTCAACAAGAATGATATTGCAACTGTAGTATTGGGTCATGCATAAACCGCACTTGACGCGTTTTGAGACCATCTCTGACTGGGTTCCTGGGATGATGCCACCTAACATCAAAGTAAGGCTTGGTTTGCACTCCTCTCTGGCCGTCCCTCTTCCTATGTCTGTTCCCATGCAGCGGCGTGACGTCATCACGCTGTTGACGTGGCGACCCCACGTGACCGGGGAGGGGCCAATCAGACTTGGTCATTGGTCCGTTCTAATTGGGCTCAATTTTGCTTAAAGCTGATTGGAGCTTTTTCAAGCCACCCTAGGGATATTTAATTCAGGCTAATGAGCTTAATTTTTCTTCTCACAGCCATTAGATGCACTTGGACAGACCTGGTGGGTTTATCACACTACAATTGATTATTGCAGTAAATGCTTTTGCATTCACTTAAAACCACGTTTTTGGGTTTTTTTTATATACCAGCTTTGATTATTATCAGGCCACAAATATCTCCCTATGCAAATTTCTCTCAAATCATCACCTCACACTCATAATAAGTGTGTTTAGCTCTTAATTGAATTGTCCTCCATGGAATCATGGAAGTGTATAACCACATTGCAAATTATTATATTGTTAATATCAACTAAATTTTGTGATGCATATTGATATGTATGTGTTTGTTATAGGCGTCATGCCTTCTTGAGCACTTCTGAGGAAGAGATTGCTGTTGGTCTCGAAACGCTTCAAGTGCGATTTATGCATGACCAATACTACAGTTGCAATATCATTCTTGATGACACTGCCGTAATCTGTATTGAAGCTCTATGTTTGCTTTTTAAGATTGTAAAAATAAAACTGCAAAGATTATTTTAAAAAAAATACTTTTTTTTTTTAACCATTAGCCTCCTGGCCAATGGCCGTTTGGTGGCCGGCAAAATCCTTCAGCGTTCCAGGTGGACGCCATATGGCGTCCTCCTGGGCATGCGCAGTTTGCGGGCCTGCAGAGCCGCGCAGAAGCGTGATCTGTCACCGGCCCTGTACCTCGGACACGGCCAATGACAGATCTCAGTACCGACCCCGTTGCCGGTACCATGTGACCAATCACAGCAGGTCACATGACAGTTGTATACAATGGATGGCTTCATTCATGCCATCCATTGTATACTAGTGTCTAGCTGTGAATGGTCACAGCGATCACATGCACAAGCTGGGCCAATCACAGCCCAGCTGTGTCATGCGATTAGCCGTGGCCAAATCAAAGCTAAGCACAACAAAAAAAAAAAAAACCCTGAATGAATCGATGTCATTCAGGTAAATGCTTGCTTATAGCAAAGTAATACTTTGCTATAGGCAAATTGTGTAAAAATTTGTCACCAGTCAGTGTCCCTGATCACCGCCATGCCAGTTATATGATGACGCTGTACTGCACTGGTGACAGTATGTAAAAAAAAAATAGTGAACATAATTTTTTCATTTTCCGAAAAATTATGAAAAAAAAAACACAACTTCAAAAAACTCGCCATGCCTCTTATGAAGTACGTCGGACTGTCTACTTTGCAAAAAGGGGTCATTTGGGGGATATCTGTACTGTCTGACATTCTTGGACCTCAAGAAATTAGATTGGCCGTCAGTACTTCAGGATTGATCAATATTCAGATATACACCATAGGTTGTGAACTCTATAACTTTCCTACAAACTAAAAAATACATCCTAATTTGGGTTATTTTCACCAAAGACATGTAGTAGAATACATTTTGGCCTAAACTTATGAAGAACAAATATTTATTTGCAAACTTTTATAACAGAAACAAAGAAAAATTTTTTTTTTTCAAAATTTGTGGTCTTTTTTTGTTAATTTAGCAAAAAATAAAAACCCCGGCGGTGATTAAATACCACCAAAAGAAAGCTCTAGTTGTGTGAAGAAAATTACAAAATTTTAGTTTGGATACAATGTTGTATGACCGCGCAATTGTCATTCAGAGTGTGAGAGCTCTGAAACCTGGAAAATGGCCTGGGCAGGAAGGGGGTAAAAAGTGCCCGGTATGGAAATGGTTAACTATTTAAGTTTATCATATAAAGAGTATTGTGCCGGGAAAAGTTCCATCCTTTGTGTTATTACATTGAGATCTGCATCCCAGTGCATCCAGTGGAGCCCAGAGGAGACATTGGGGGTCTTTTATACCCTGCGTGTCCCATTATAGAGAACCTGTCACCTAAAAATCATCACATAGGAGACTTTGTGCCCCCTATGTGATAAAAGAAAAAAAGGTAAGCAAAAACAATTATTTATTGCAAAAAGATAAACTTACACCTAAGCACATAATATCCCCCCACAAGAAAAAAAATGTATGGCCACCCCTCATATACGCAGATACGAACGTAAAGTTATGTGTCGGGGGCGCCTGCACATGAAAACGTCCATTGAGATACACGTTACATACAGTAACTATAGAAATTATAGGGTCCTGAAGTTTGTTGCCATTTCATGGGAGTACACAAATTTAATGTTTGACACGTTGGGTTTCTATTTACTCGTCTTTTATATTTTACCAAAAAATGTGGGTGAGGTATTGCTTTTGTTTGCCCTGAAATAAACTTCAGTAATTTTTTTTACTGAAATTTTGCATTTTTTAGACCTTTCGCTATACATCTACCCGTCTTTTTCCAGCAATTGAGCTCCCGTGCGCACCTGCATGCACATAGTCCTGTGATCGCACGCACTGTGATTGGACGCGGCGGATCACAGGCAAAAGATACAGAGCCAGTCGGAGTTGCTCTGTACCTTGTGATCACTGTGACCAATTACAGAATGTAAACACAGGTTGCAATAGCAGCTGTGTGTCACTGGCCAGTGATTAGGAAGCACATTCTGCTTTTACACACTGATCTGTGTGTGTGAGGGGGAAGAAAGTCTTCTGACTGCCAGCCAGCACCGTCTTATGTCATTCAGCTCACTACAGTATACAGTCAGGTCCATAAATATTGGGACATCGACACAATTCTAACATTTTTGGCTCTATACACCACCACAATGGATTTGAAATGAAACGAACAAGATGTAATTTAACTGCAGACTGTCAGCTTTAATTTGAGGGTATTTACACCCAAATCAGGTGAACGGTGTAGGAATTACAACAGTTTGCATATGTGCCTCCCACTTTTTAAGGGACCAAAAGTAATGGGACAATTGGCTTCTTAGCTGTTCCATGGCCAGGTGTGTGTTATTCCCTCATTATCCCAATTACAATGAGCAGATAAAAGGTCCAGAGTTAATTTCAAGTGTGCTATTTGCATTTGGAATCTGTTGCTGTCAACTCTCAAGATGAGATCCAAAGTGCTGTCACCATCAGTGAAGCAAGCCATCATTAGGCTGAAAAAACAAAACAAACCCATCAGAGAGATAGCAAAAACATTAGGCGTGGCCAAAACAACTGTTTGGAACATTCTTAAAAAGAAGGAACGCACCAGTGAGCTCAGCAACACCAAAAGACCCGGAAGACCACGCAAAACAACTGTGGTGGATGACCGAAGAATTCTTTCCCTGGTGAAGAAAACACCCTTCACAACAGTTGGCCAGAT